GAGCACCACTGGGAGCAATGCATGGCCAGAGAAGAGGTGCAGCAGCCAGTGCCCAGTTGTACCTCTTTGTCACATTGAGATCTCATGTGATCTAATAATTAGTGTGTTGGTTTGGGACATGGGCTAATTGGTTCTGGTCTCTGCACAGCCATCACACTCATGACTTTTGACCAATCACTCTCTCTTATCTTACCCTACTTCACAGGGTTGATGTGAATATAACATGGAGAGGAAGAAAGCCTTGTATGCTGCCTTTACAGCATACTGGAAGAAAAGTAGGTTGTAAATATAGCAATCATTGAAGTAGTGGCTCTTATTCAGCAAACCACAATTCAAGGAAAAAGAAAATTAGTTTTTCCAGAAGGCAAGTAAAGCACAGCTCCATGATTCAACTGAATGATCTTACAGAATTGCAGAATTGTGGACTTGAGAACAAATCCCAAGTGGCATTGATTTCTCTGCCAGAGGAGGAGATCTGCAGCTAAAACAACCTTGACACATGACTCGCTAGCCTCTGTTTCAATACCATCAATGAAGGAAAGTCCACCACCTTCTGTGATACATCCCTCCACTGTCAAACAGCTCTGACTGTTCGGAAGTTATTTCTAATGTTTAGTTGAAATCTCCTTTTTTTGTAATTTGAATCCATTAGATCAAACAGTGTACGATGTCAGGGTTCAGTAGAAGAGGCACCAGGGCCCAGTCCAGAGCAAGACCACAGGAACAAGGTAGAACCAACCCCACAGCCCAAGCAGAGAGCAACCAGCTAGAGTTTTGAGTCCAAACAGCAGCAAGTAAAAGGATGCTGCAAATCATGGTCAGACAGTCCAAAGCCAGGGGGAACCATATTAAGGCAGCCAGGGTAGGAACCACCAGGCAAAGCAATAACAAGGAGGCTGGCAGGCAAGACAAGAGCAACAACATAACCAGAGACCGTCATTGCTGCAGCAGTCTGTAGGGAAGGCCTGTTCTTATATAGCCCAGTCCCCAGGTGGCACTTCTGAGGAGCTGGGCAACAGCTGCAGGGAAAGGATCCAGTCCTGCAATCCTTAGAGCAGTTCTCCCCAGAGAGATGGGGCTGATCCTGTCTGCACTAAGGTTGTAGGGTTCCAGCATGGCCCCAGTCTTGACATATGGTTTGGGAAAGTAAGAGGTGCATAGCTACAACTCTATGCCAAAGCTTAGACCTCAACGTTCACACAATTAAAGAAAAAAAATGGAATATACTTGGATGCAACATATCAAATTATCTATTTTGCTAATATACTGGAAGAACAGAGCTAAACGGGGGGCACTTTTTTGAACTTTGATAATTCAGGTCATTGGGTCATCAAAAGTCTTGGATGAAACTTATAACATTCTACTGGACACTAAATCTACCAACAGTGAAGTTCTATGGGGAAAATATTTGGCATAGGAGATTAATGAAGGATAGTGATTTAGTCAAAAGCCTCAAAGAAGGGAGAAAAGTATCAGACTTATAAACTGATTTTATATATATCACGCACGGACGCGCACGCGCACGCACACACACACACACACACACACACACACACACAAGTTTATTGCGTAGCACACAGGCCATTGCAAAGTATATATATGACACCATTCAGACTCAGCTGTCTACATGGAAGTCATAGCAACAAACTGCAGAAGACAAAATGATGGATCAGGAAGACTTTAAGAGTTGTAGGATGAATTCTGTGTGAAAACAGAACATATTACTGGTCAGGCCATGCTGATTTGTTCTACATCATCTGTGTTTTCACATGTTCATTTGTATACATTGTTATCAAACTAATCAAAGTTTATTTTTTAAAAAAAGGCTAAACTGCAGTTAGTGGTTTATTTTTCTGACGGGATGAATGATGTTCATCCTGTTATGGATGCGGTTGTTTTCCTCACAAAGAAGCAGGTTTATTTGCCTATGATCAACCTCTGAACCCTTCTCTGAGCACCAGATGTTTGGAAGAAGTAATAAAGAAAGTGCAAAATTTCTTTTGTGTTTTTCATCATCATAACGTCAGACATTTAATAGAATGGCATTGTCAAAATTTTAAAGTCCAGAATTATGCTAATTAATTGATTTGTTGATTATTTCTTATTTGGAAGGAGGTGCGCCATTATATTATTAAACATTGTATAGCTTTGATTTTTAACTTTTGTATATTGTTGCATGATATCTTTGGTTTTGACTATCTCTTCGAGGGAAACATGTGACAAACTTGATAAACCTAAACTGTGTCACCTACCCAAGTGGTTTGGCTGATAATGATGCAATTCCCATGTTCTTAATCATCCCTTTTGAGACTCTTTCTCTAAAGTTCTCAGGCAGAGCATCACACACATGTTTTGAAATGTAGGAATGCAAAATATTAGTATGCATTCAGTTTGTTGATAAACCTAAACTGTGTCACCTACCCAGGTGGTTAGGCTGATATATATTCAGTATAGCAGTTTTTGGATGGTACTTCATGTAGCTGGCTGGGTAGCTCAGTGATTTTGGTATCTAGTTGGGAATTCAATTCCCCACTGTGCTTCTTGAGAGAGGAGCCAGCCTATGTACAGTCATGGCCAAAAATATTGGCACCCTTGCGACTCTGTCAGAAAATGCAATTCTTCTCTCAGAAAACTGTTGCAGTTGCAAATGTTTTGGTACTCACATGTTAATTTCTTTGGTTTGCATTGGAACAACACACACACACACACACTAAAACCAGAATAGAAAAGTCAAATCTGATGCAACCCCACACAGAAACCCCCAAATAATGCAGTGGCCTAAATTATTGGCACCCTTAACTTAATATTTGGTAGCACCCCCTTTGGAAAACAATAACTGAAATCAATCACTTCCTGTAACCATGAATGAGTTTCTTACACCTCTCTACTGGAATTTTGGACCACTCTTCTTTTGCAAACTGCTCCAGGGCCTTCAGATTTGAAGGATGCCTTCTCCCAAGTGCTGTTTTGAGATCTCTCCACAGGTGTTCTATGGGATTCAGATCTAGACTCATTGCTGGCCATTACAGAACTCTCTAGGACTTTGTAACCATTTCTGAGTGCTTTTTGAAGTGTGTTTCGGGTCCTTGTCCTGCTGGACATGACCTCCGGTGGAAACACAGCTTTATGACACTGGCCACTATGTTGTGTCCCATAATTCTTATGTAATTCTTCGGTAATCAGATTTTATGATACTGTTCACACAGTCAAGGCATCCAGTGCCAGAAGCAGGAAAACAACCCCAAAACATCTTTAAACCTCCACCATGTTTGACTGTAGGGACTGTGTTCTTTTCTTCAAATGCCTCATTTCTTTTTCTGTAAGTAGTGCCATGATGTCCTATACCGAAAAGCTCTACTTTTGTCCCATCTGTCCACAGTATGTCCTCCCAGAAGGATTGTGGTTTTGTCACGTAGGTTTTGGCATACTACAGTTTTGTTTTTTTATGCCTTTCTGTCAGCAGTGGTGTCCTCCTGGGTCTCCTACCATAGTGTCCCCTTTCATTCAGATGGCAACGGATAGTGCGAGCTGACACTGTTGTACCCTGTGTCTGCAGATCAGCTTGAATTTGTTGGGAAGTTAATCTGGGCTCTGTGTCCACCATTCGAACAAACATCATTGTAATTTTTCAGTCATTTTTCTCTTCTGTCCACGTCCAGGGAGGTTAGCTACAGTGCCATCGGCTGTAAACCTCTTGATGATATTGTGCACAGTGGACACAAGGAAGATTAAGATCTCTGGAGATGGATTTGTAAACTTGAGATTGTCTATGATTTTCCACAATTTCTTCTCTCAAATCCACAGACAACTCTTCACACTTTATTCTTTTATCCATGCTCAGTGTCAGACACAACACAAAGGTTGAGTCCACTTTTCTCCATCTTAACTGGCTGCAAGTGTGATTACTATATTGCCCACTCCTCTTACATGTGACAAGTGTGTCTAAATACAAATTAAAGAAGCATCACATGCTTGAAAAGCAATTATTTCTTACAATTTAGACAGGGTGCCGATAATTCTGGCCAGTGCATTTTGGGGTTTCTGTGTGGGAAAGTATCAGATCTGACTTTTTTCCCTCTGGTTTGTGTGTGTGTGTGTGTGTGTGTGTGTGTGTGTGTGTGTGTGTCTGTCTGTCTGTCTGTCTGTCTGTGTCTGTATCTGTGTTTTGTTTCAATGCAAACCAAGGAAATGAACATGTGAGTACCAAAACATTTGTAACTGCAACAATTTTCTGACAGAATTGCAAGGGTGCCAATATTTTTGGCCATGACTGTAGTCATAGGAAAACTGCACAATCCCATGGTGCTTCCAGAAGGAGGGAATAGTAAACCATTTCTGTGTATTTTCTACTTAGAAAACCCTGGAAAGAGTCACCATAAGTCAGAACTGACTAGACAACACACACAGTTATTATTATAATTATTTACTTCATGTAAGCCCCAGGCAACATGTCTAGTAATCAGGGATTAAGGCAGTTGTAGCCTAAAACATCTGCAGAGCAGCAGCTTATCTACTCAAAATACACTGCCTCATTTAAAAATTGCCTTGCATAAATGTATAGGAATGGTTGAAACCTCACAAGTGGGAAACTGTAATTAGGACAGTTATAATTTCCAGGGGCAGGAGGACAAAAGGAACTCACTATCATTATTCTAGATCAGCCATTCTCAGTGGTGCCTATATGGCCCCCAGGGAGCTCCTGGCACATTTCAAGAGACCACAGCCTGGAAACAGTTCTTCACACTCTACCTTATAAGGTCTGTCGTGTGACTTTTACAATCCTGATTTGGCCTGTATTTCTTTCATATTATCTTTATGGCTGTGGCAAAAACAGAAACAAAAGGTTGAGAATGGCTGCTCCAGATGTTTATAAGAATATAGTAGATGCTTTTAGGGTTAGAGAGAAGCTAAATGTAAAATACGGCATATGTGGTTTGAGCATCATTTCCCCTGCTGACTGTTTATAACATCTACACCTTATGTTTGTTTTGTGATTTCAGGAGCAGAAGGCACAGTGTTTCCTAAATCCATAGAAACTCCTAATGTCAGGGCAGACCCCTTCAAGGAACTAAGGTAAACTTTGGTGTTTAGTTTCAATATAATTCAAAGGTAGCTTGTTGAATTCTGTATTCTAAATGCTAGGATTTCAGCCCCTGAACCAGTTCGGGGACAGGACACCCTTGTCTCAAAGCATAGATGCCCCAGAAAGGCAGAAAGGCAGGGATGCTTCAGCCGCCTCTCTGCAACACAATTTCAAAAAAACAATGTCAGTAAAGTTCCATTGTTAGTCACCTCAAAGCCTCAAAAGAAAAGAAAAATAGGAAAATTAAGATCTGTCTTGGGGTCTCAGTGATTGAAGGTACTGAGATGCTCCTCTCAATCACAAAGTGACAGCTGGCAGACGAATGACACAAAGGTCAAGTTATTCTCTGTACAGATTTAGTAGCATGCTAGATATATTTATCAGAGAACAGCAACTACTGCTCTGTTTCATAAGTTATTGATAGCACCACATTTTCATGGCAGTCGACCAGACAGGCACCCAACCTCCATGGATTTCCAGTATGTGAGCCTTTGGGACAATTTTTTCTCACATTCAGTACCATGTTTGTATAGAGTGTCTAGGTCATAATGGTCTTTAAAGTATATAATGGAGGGTTGCTCCATATTATGTCAAGGGGATGATGGCAATGAATGAATTATACACCACCAGCAACCCTCTTGCCATGCTTTCAAGGCTGAAAGCCCATTTTCTTCATTATAAATGTATGCAACTGTGTGCTGAATTTAGTAAAACTACTGGGAAGATGGGTCCTTGTTAGGGACTTCTTTTGAATATAGAACAAAGTTCTGGCCAAAGAAGGTACCTCTGTACAATCTTTTCTGATTGTGGTCACTCTGATTGTGCTCCTCTTCCGCTCTGTGCAATATGATGTTTGAAGTGGGAAAATGTCACTAGCTAGGCTGTTCTGTACAGTGGTAGCTGTTCTGTATCATGAGATGACCATAATGTGTTGAACAGCTAGACATGTGTCTCAGCCACTCATGTGAAGAGGTTCTTGAAAAAAGAACATCTGATGGTTGAGTGGAAGCTCTCTAAGGGTCACAGAGGCAGGCCACTCTACATATTACACCCTCTTGTAATGCAGTCTTGTCTTTTTCTATCATTTCCACTGACTGCTGCAAGTCACTAACCTTTGGGCAGGTTATTTACCACCCCCACCCCCCAAAAATTGAATTCCTTTATGCTCCCCCATAACAAGGACTATCTAGCCAAACACAAATTTTCTTTATATGTTGTACTCTCATATCTTTACTGCTTCAGTGCCTTGGACACTTGTAATGTTTTATCAGAATGATGATACATGAGCCTCCAAATGCATATGTTAAAAATACTGCTGGTATCGGTTTCTTTTTCCCAGCTTCTGCATTCCCATCTCTGTTACTTTCAGCAATGTTTCGGGTGTCATATCATGAATGATACGTTCCAGGTGATTACACAGCCATCATTCTCCACTGACTTTTCTATCATCTTCTTTCTGACAAGCAGTTTTGGATCACTGGCTGCTTTACAAGAGTGGGATCACCTTTTCTGCAATCAGACATTGTACTGTTTCTGCTAGATGGGCATCATCTCTTGGATGTTATCTCTGTGTCTTCTCTTTATCTGCCTTTCCCTTGTGTCGGGGGTGGGGAGGCTTGGGGAATCTGTGCAAGGATGGGGTAGTGTTTACAATAAACCCCTGAGGTATTAGGCCCCCAGATGTCATGTTTGTGATGTTATGTCATCCATTAGATTTCAGCTTCTTTGCACAAGCAGTTTTATACTATTCTTCTTACTCGACTTCACGAATGATGAAAATATTGATGAGTCTTGTTGACACTTAGATGGTTGCAAGGGATAGGATAGATAAAGGAATCATGAATACCCTATCTCACAATCTTCTTGAATGGTTTGACAGTATATATTCTGATAAACCTCTTTTAATGGACAGTTGTGTGGACTCAATTGAGCAAGTTCTGGGAACTATGTGGGTGTTTCACACACAACAAGGCAGTTGGATGTTGGTGACTTCCTGTTGTCAAGGATTTAACCTCCCACACACCCATATTTGTAATTCTAAAAACAAAAAGAGCAGTGTGTCTCAGAGTAGAGTAGGCTGTGGTACCCACTGGTAGTACATTTTTAACACTGGGATACACTCATCCATATTGCTGCTGTGGTTTTCTGCTGACAAGTTGCTTCTGATTTATGGTAGCTATATCAATTAGCAATCTTTGGAAGGTCCTGTCATTAACAGCCTTGCTCAGGTTTTACAAACTAAGGTCCATGGCTTCCTTTATTGAGACAGTCCATCTTATGTTTGGTTTTCCTTTTTTCCTATTGCCTTCATATTTTTCCAAACATTATTATCTTTTCTATTAAATGCTGTCTTCCCATTAAGTGCCTCAAGTGTGACAACTTGCATCATTTTTCAGCCATTTAACAGGCGTAAGTACAGGCTTTAGAAATCTGTTGGCTTCCTTATCCTAACTGCATGTTTGGTTGATGGCAAAATTTGATGATTTTGATTAGCAATGGTTGTAATACTAATCAAGGGGAAATATTTTGTTTATTTAAAGCATTTTTACCATTTTCTATATTGTGACTAGAGATGGGGATGACTCACCATTTTGGCGAGTTGTCCTGCTTTGTTAGTCATCAAAAGTTGACGACTCACTAAGTTGCCCCCATGAAGCAACGAATAACGACATTATTCATTGATTCGTGTGGGGGTTATTTTAAAAAACCTTTTCAAAAGGCAGGCTGATTTAGGGAATCTAGGCTGCGTTTGTAAGTATGGCAGCTGCAGCTTCCCTACCCTAAATGAAGCCACAGCCACCATCTTTGCAAAGAGCACCCAGTTTCCCTTTTTACACATTGTAGCTGTGGAGGCCTGATGGAGACCTCGGCAATGGCGTTGACGATTATAGTACGGGGGTGTCGGCGGGGGTGGAGGGCTAAGGTAGGGAGAGAAAGGGGTGGGGTAGGCTGTGAGGATGGG